GAAGCAACCACAAGGTTTCTTGGTATATGGCAAAGAGGAGTTTGTATGCAAACTTCGAAAAAGCTTGTATGGTTTGAAACAGGCCCCAAGGCAGTGGTGCAAGAAGTTTGATGGGCTTATGTAACAACGATTTTACAAGATGTCAAGCAGATCATTGTTGTTATTTCAAGAGGTTTGACAAAAGTTGTATTATTTTGCTCTTATATGTTGATGATATGCTTATCACAGGATCTAGCGTTGAAGAGATAAAAAGATTGAAGAAACTTTTGTCCAACCAATTTGAGATGAAGGATCTTGGAGTTACAAACAAAATCTTTGGTATGAGGATTCACAGGGACAAGGCAAATGGTAGTTTGAAGTTGTCACAGACAGAGTATGTCAAGAAAGTTCTCGAGAGGTTTAGCATGGATGGTGCAAAACCAGTGAGCACTCCATTGGCTAGCCACTTCAGACTTACCAAAGAGAAGTCTCCGAAGACTGAAGAAGAGCAGGCTTACATAGAACGTGTTCCATATGCTTCAACTATCGGTAACATAATATATGATATGGTTTGTACTGGACTAGACATTGCACATGCAGTGAAAGTGCTTAGTAGGTACATGAGTAATCCAGGCAAGCAGTATTGGGAGGCAGTGAAGTGGATCCGTCAGTACTTGAGTGGTACTACAGACATGACACTTTGTTTCAGATGAACCGACATCGAGTTACATGGTTATGTTGATGCAGACTTGGTTGGTAAAATGGATAACAGAAAGAGTACTACTGGTTATATTTACACATTGGGTGGTACAGCAGTGAGTTGGATTTCACAGTTACAAAAGATGTGGCCCTTTCTACAACAGAGGCTGAGTATGTTGCTATTACTGAAGCTGGGAAGGAGATGACTCGGTTACAGAATTTCCTAGTAGAGTTAGGTAAGATGCAAGAAATGAGTATTTTGCATAGCGACAGCTAGAGTGCTATTCATATTGCAAAGAATTCTACTTTTCATTCTAGGATGAAACACATTCAGTTCCGATACCATTTCATTTGTTCACTTGTAGATGAAGGAGTCTTGTATCTTAAGCAGATCCAAGGCAGTAAGAATCCAGCAGATATGTTGACCAAGACAGTCACCATTGACAAACTGAAGTTGTGTGCAACTTCAGTTGGCCTTCAAGATTGATGAATGAAGGTCAACTTGTTGCAGCGTTCCTCTATGTGATAAAGATGATGGAGAGCTTGTGTTATTAGGTTCCAAGTGAGAGATTGCTGGGTTGGTGGACCTTGATAAGTACTTTTGGATACTTGCGTAATTCCCATGTGCTTCCGTATAACTCTAATTCTGTACTTATAAATAGATGAGGGCACCTCTTTTAGGTAAGAGAAAAAAAGAGAGAGTTGTATTTTTCTGATCATAGTGAAAAACCTCAGCAGCCGTGGACGTAGCCCTATTCTGAGGTGAACCACGTAAATCCTTGTGTTCTTGTGTGTGATTTGTTTGATGCGTTTTTTCTTCTTTATTTGTTATTTCGTATCTCACTGATTTTGGTTAGGAAGGGTCAATTTCCTAACAAAATCATTTGGTGGTGTACAAGTAATTTAATCAATTAGTCAATTGCCCAATCAATTAGTGGTGGCAAAGTGATTCAATCAATAATTAATTAATGGTGTCCAAATCATCCAATTCATTGTTCATTTGATTCCAATGTCAATTCTAATGAAATTCACTTCAAATTGAATTGTCCATCCATTGTATCGCTTTGTTGTATTTTCACTTAATATTTGGAATAAATTATACTTTTCACCCCTATAATTTGACTCAAATTTCAATTTAGTTTCTATTCTTTCAAATTAATTTATTATCTTATGAATAATTATATTGTAAATAATAATTATGTAACTATTGCTTCAAAATTGCATAGCATATTTTATAAATTTATTTAGATCGTAATCAATTATTAGTATTAATCTCAAATAATCAACATCATAATTTTCTATAAAATTTACTAAATATTAGTGTTGTTAGAGACATAGAATTTACTAGAAAAAGAACTGATAGAATAAATCAAGAAATTATATATTATCAACAATCACTAGATTTACTATCTCAAGCATAAAAATAAAAATAAATAAATAAACAAATAATATATATAATAAAAATATAAAAAAAAATATATTTAAACTAAAATAAAAAATAATATAAAATTGTGAACCAAAAAACTTGTGTAAATAATAAAGTAATTTAAGGACCGTATTGCAAAAAAAAAAAAAAGAAAAAAAAAAATAGAACAAAAAGAGTAATGCAGAGTTTACCAAAGATAGTACAAAAGAGGTCCCTCTTGCACTGCAGGAGTTAGACCCATCAGAGGGTACAGGCCACCCATTTTAAATCATTAAAATATTGAAGGGTCAAGATCAATTTGTTTTGACCCAATAATTTATACCTAAATTGCATATGGCATGCAGCCTTTAAGGGTTACACACCCAAACACTACCCCTCGAGTCATAGTTTCCTTGAACAATTCTTTAATAAAATATATATACCTGAAAGTGACCCGATCCCTTGAGGATTTCAATTTTGCATCGTCTTTGTTTGTTCTTTTTCTTATTTTTCGGCTCACGTGTGTCGTGTCATTTATTTATTTTTTCTAAACATCACTACTTTTTTTACTAATAGTTTCCTTGAACAATTCTTTAATAAAATATATATACCTGATTGAGGATTTCAATTTTGCATTGTCTTTGTTTGTTCTTTTTCTTATTTTTCGGCTTAAGTGTGTCGTGTCATTTATTTATTTATTTATTTATTTTCTCTAAACATCACTATTTAAATGTTGTTTGGGATATCCTAAATAAATATATTTTTTGAATTTTTAGACTATAAAGTTGAGAAAAAAATTATGATTATTTGGGATAACTTTTTGATTTTTTACAAAAAAATGTGTATTAAAAAATTATATAATTTAGTATAAGAAAAAGGGAGAGAGAAATAGGCTGTACGCTGGGTAGAGATGTGGCAGACTAGCATATAGATATGCTTGCCTCCTTTTCGGGTATTGAATGAGACGGTGATGTTCAGCTCGTGGGGGCCACCATAAGTCTCGTTTTGGTAATCAGAACCGTTCAATATGTAAAATTCATCGAGTACTATATGTTTGTAAAAAATCACATTGATCGGATATCGATAGCTATTTGATCGGATTAGTTTTTTATCAACTGTTAACTATAATACTATTCTTTTTTTATACAAACTGATTTGATCATCTAGTTAGCAATATCCGGTCAACGTGATTTGTTACAGACATATAGTACTCGAAGGGTTCTACGCATTCAACGGTTCAGATTATCAAAACGAGACCCGTGATGGGCCCTCACGAGCCGAACAACACCGTCCTTAAGCTTGCCTCCGCCTGTGTAATTTGTTCTCACCAAAGTCAGCAAAAGGCAACTCACGGCAACGTGATTTGTACCTTTTTTTGTATAAAAATTATTTTTTTATAATTTTTTCTGTTGAATAGTGATAATTTTTTAACTTTTTTTAATAACTTTTTGTCCTTTTATCTTTTTTCAAAGATCCAAAACCAGGCCTTAATTTACTAATATCCTTTGTTGTGTTTATCCCTTGGTAACAAATATATTGATTGTGTTTGGCAGAGCATTCTTGAAATTGAGTAAATCAAATTTGATAATATTTATTGCAACAAGTTATACTCGTATTGATAGATCGATTTTTCTCGTGCTAATTTGATATGATTTAAGTGTGTACTGAAATAAGTAATTTCAGTTATGAAACTTGTCCATATTAAAGAGCGCGATAGGATGGAGGATGATTTTTTAATTAGTTACCTTTTTTTTATCAACAAAAGAAGAAGAATTTTATTGATGCTAAGTTCAATACAAGGTATAATACAAACATCAATAAGGCAAGGGGAAAGCAACTAGTATCATAGCTAAACTGAGTTATCCCAACTAGAATGGCCCCACACACCAAACTAGATCATGTGCTTCAGTCCCAGGTTGATGAGAAACCAACCAAAGAAGATAGGAAAGAAAAACAAGAAACAACCCAAACAGTACACCCTCCAAACCACACCAGCAGCCCCACCCCTGGCCTGAACTGATATCCAACAATCCACACCTGCAGCCCCCTCCCTTGTAGCTGTTAAATGCAGTCCCTAATCTGTCTGAGATTGTAACACCAAATCATTCACTGGGTAGTGGAAGTCCTGCAATGAGGCTTTGAGCCATAGAGCTAGCCTTAACTTGAAAAGCTCACTCAACTTAAAGCAAGTGGGCTGCACTCCATTGAAGACACATTCAGTCCTCTGCTTCCAAAGTGACCACAGTACAACTAAAGGAAGAGTCCTCCAGATTCTTCTTTCCAAAATTTTAAAATTATCGCTAATCCACCAATGAAAAAAGCCATCAACTGAGCCTGGTATCACCCATTGATAATCTCACCGCTGCATCAATTCTAACCAGATATTCTAGAGAATGGGCAAAAGAGCAGAGCACATGCTTGGCTGTTTCTGGTTCAGACCTGCAAAAAATTTACTGGTTGGAAGCATTGGGGCTGAGAACTCCAATTTTCTATAGGAAATCAGCTGATTTAATTCTCTTTCCAATACAACCACCAAAAGAATTGTGTTTTGGGAGGAATATTATTGTTCCACACAAATTTGCTAATCCTAGACTGGGGCCAAGAGAAGAATTGCACAATTAGTTACTTAATCACATAATTAAGAAAAGCTAATTATGTTGATAAAAAAAATATTTCAGTACACACCATACATTTAAATTCTAAGCGCGCGCGCACACACATATATATAGTAAATACACTAGCATGTAAATAATGGGTAATGCTATGGTATGCACTCTTTTTGAGAGTGTGTACCGTATGCAAATGCAAGTTATGTCATTTGTGAGTTTGATTATCACAAATGACATAACTCAATGTTATAGGAGTTATAAGTATTAAAAAAAAAAAAAATGAGTTATAACCAACCTCACATAAGATATAGCAAAAAATTCTTGAATCATAATTAACATCAATAAGTTATAACCAAAGACACAAAAATCTTAACTAATGGTGCATATACAATTTAGGACCAACAAAGGAATAGACACAGAAATAAAGCAAGATCTTATTAACAGATGATTTCCAATTTCATGTCACCATATCTAGGCCCACATATCATATGGGAACATCACCTCTCTCACACTCTCACACAGTCTCTCTCTCCAAATACACACATCAAAAAAGTTTACTATTTAGTTAAGAGGGGTTGTTGAGGGATTAAGTTGAGCAAGCTCCTCTTTCATCTCAGCCTTGATAGCAGCAGCCAACTGGTCATAGGCTTCACCCCATGCACCATTCATCTCCTCATTCCATTTCTCCCCAATTGCCTCTTTAACTGTCCGCAACAAAGCTTCTTTCACCACCTAATAAATCCAATAAACATCACACAATTAATCTAAATCAAAAGGACACTCTTAACCCTTTAATATTAAATTTATTTACATCTTAATTAGACTATAGTTTCAGTATTCAACACCTCAAAATGGGGGTCAATCACTCCTTTCTGAACATGAACAGATCCCAAATATTTGAGAGTTGTATCCGAAACCACAACCTCCCCCTTCTCCCGCAGCTGAATCGCCGACTCACAAGTCTAATTCAATACACGATTATACATAGTTATTAACCTGAATTTTTAATAATGAAAATTACTTTTAAAAAAACAAGAAGAAGAATATAAGAGAAAAAAAAGGACAAAGAAGTGTGTAATAATTCTAACCATCTTGAATACTTTAACAGCATGAGCCTTGAGCCTTGGATTGTTCTTTGGGACTTCATTCGAGTCTTTCAGAAATGAGAACAAGTTCTTCGCCGCCGGGGCAATCTCTATGATCCTAATTAATCCACCATCAAACACACACACACACACACACACACACAACACAACACAACACAACACAAAAATTAAAAAATAAATAAATGAAAACAACCATATTGTCTTAGCATATTCATAGGTTTTAAACTAAGACACAGGAACCTAGAGAGAGATAGCGGGGCAGGGAGAGAGGGAAATCTCTCTCTCTCTCTCTCTCTCTGTACTTACAAGGTAAAGAAACGAAGACTGAATTCAGGAATGTTTTGCTTCATCACTTCCCATGATTCCTTCACCAAAGCTTCTTGCTTCTCTGTGAAACCCATCCCTCTCTGTGCGTGTGTTCGATTGTGATTGTGATTGTAACTAGAGAGTCGTGAGGCATATTATAGCATGTGCCATGTGGAAAAACCATTTTAGAAAGTACTAATATATGAGAGAAATATTAAAGGGAATATACTATATGTAGCCTATAATTAAAAAAAAATGATATAATTTTATATTTTCTAAGTCACAATTAAAAAAATATATCATATTTAAACATAATATGAGATATAACTAAAGAATTTATTAGTTATAACAAAAATAATGTCATAATTAAAGAAAAAAATGAAATAATTAAGAATGCATATGGTACGTTATTTTCAAGAGTGTGTCTAGAATTTTCCTATATATAATTTTATATTTTTATCTCATTTTTTTTACTTCAAGACATAAGTAAGTGGGCCTTATATACATTTATGAAGATAGGTCCTATTGATTTGTGATAAGAAAACAAAATGTAAAAAAATGATATTATTTATAGCATTACTCTTTCATGTATCACAAAATGTACTACACAATTAATCACAAAAAATTACCATTTGAGCAATATGAGTAACACACCACTGGGGGTGGTGGCCCATGGATTGCGCATACCTCTTCCATCCAGTTGAGCAGGGGTCAATTTTCGGAGGGCACTAATTTCCTTTGGCTCATCGCGTTGTATTTTAATTGACATTCTGCCTTCTGTGTGGCAGGTGGGTGAGCTCCATTTGTGTGGATCTCTTCATATGAGTTGGGTTAAATCTGGCAGACAACCGGTTACTCAGAAGTCAGGGTCCATGGATGTTATGATATCCCTACGAAACATCTTCTTTTTTTTTTTTCATTCAAAAAAAAAAAGGAAAAAAAAAAAACAATATGAGTAACACATCTCTTTAATGACAGGCCCTATGATTTGATATGTATTATCATGATTATTTTATGTAATTAATTCTATGATAAATTTTATCACGGATTTAGGTTCTGGCCTCCGTGGATGATTAGTTGGCATCAATTTTGACAGATGGGGCTCAAAGCTTCCAAGCATTTTTTTTTGTTGGGTTGCATGTTGATGAGAGGATAAGTTGGGATTGATTTTGTATTAATGACATTTATTACTATTAAATGCCTAGCTAACTCATTCGCTTTTCTCGTTATTATCGGTGGTGTTATATAAATCAATTATTGTACTAACTAGTGTACCAATACTCGTTATAACGTTATTATTGATCTCACTCATTATACAAATTACAACTACAAAAAATCTCTTAAATTATGCCACATCATCAATTGATACTGTAATTAGTATACTAATTAGTGCCTAGAACATTATTCCATTACTATTTTACGGACATGTTTTAGATTTCTTCTAGTTTATGTATAATTTTTGCAAAATTCAAATTTAAATTGTCAAAAATATATATTATTGGTTGCTTGGGAACAAAACACGTTATGAACAGGAAGCCCTGATCAACAAAGTTTTTAATATTTAAAAATGAAAATAAAGTTTGCGCATCAAAGTTTCTTAAAGAATTTAATGTCTTTGGAACAATTTAATGATGTTTTTTTTTTTTTTTGAACGGCAAACAAAGAAATTTTATTAAAAGTGAAAAGAAACAAAATTAGCTTAGGGAGATTTTGCATTATTGTTGAAACGAAGCATCTCAACTAAATTGACACCCAAATCAAGACTATTATGTGCATTCCCAAAGCCACCACCAAGAGTTAGAAAGGTTTCAACTCAATACACCCCATTACAACCTTAAGAACAAAACAAAGATTACACCTTTCTACTTAAACAATATCTAATATGCAAACTATTGAATAGAAAATCATTTATAGTAAACTAGTAATCCTTTGATGCAGCTTTCAGCTATATGGCTAATCTGATGATGATTACCTCCTGAAGCTTCCCCATATCTGGATGAATACCATTAAACACAATCATTCCTATGGTTCCAAATGGACCAAAGAGAAACCAGAGGAATTGCATTCCAAACCCTTTTTTCAGCTTTCTTGAAGCAATTTCCAACCTTCCACTGCAGCAAAGACTCAACTAAACCAGGCCACCCATATCACTCCCTACCATTGCAATAAACTGGACCAAACCTTCCAAACTAGATGGCAAAAAATAAGCACATGTTTAATAGAAAACACACAGAGTAAAGGCATTCTCATCAAGAACTCCAATTTTTTGGAGAAAAACAGAAGTTTTGACCTTCTGTTTCCAAGTTAGCCACCCAAAGAATTGAACTTTGGGTGGTAGAGAATTGATCCACACCAATCTACTAGAACTAACACACTCACCAAACTCCAATTCTCACTGCCTATAAAGTGATGCAACAAAGGATGACCTGGATGGGCTGCTAACCACCTTGGTTTATTCTTGAAGTCCAAACATAATGCAGGGGCTGCTCTTAACACATCTGAGATCTTGGATAGCTCCTCAACCTTCCGTTGCAACAAAGGCATTCTAAAATTGAGATCCTATAACTTAGAGAAGCCCTTCTATCAATAAAAAGCCCGAGGATCCATTTGTGACTGTAGAATGTGAAAAGAGCCTATGAAAATTCTCTTTGAGACAAATAGCACCACACCATTTATCATGCCAAAATCTCACTCTATTCCCATTACCCACTATAATCTGTAGATTACTAACAAAAAACTACAGAAGATTGCTTCTCTGCTCTACCACTGCTAAAATATCAATCCATATCTTAGAATATCTTAACCCTATACTCAAATTTGGAATCCATTCACCTTCATCAGTTTTGTATTTGGCACATACCATATTTTTCCACAATGCTCCCTCTTCATTAGCAAATCTCCATTACCACTTCATAAACAAACAAGCATTTACCTCTCTAATTCTCCTAATCCCCAGCCCTCCTTGACTAATACTCTTGGTCACCTCATTTTATTTTACTAGATAGATTTTTCTCTTCAACTCTAAGCCTCCCCATAGAAAGGAGGCTTGTAGTCTTTCAATTTCCTTAGCAATTCCTTCTGGCATCTTGAAAAATGATAGATAATATACAGGTAAACTAGACAACACAACCTTAATCAGAGTCATTTTGCCAGCAAAAGAGAGGAACCTCATTTTCCACCCAGTAAGGCTAAGTTTTATCTTATCTATGACTGGTTTCCATGTCTTTTTTCTGCTTGAAGAAGCACCTAATGGCAGACCAAGATATCGTAGTGGTAACTTCTGAGTTTTACAATTGAGCAATGTAACAAAATCCTTGAGTGTAGAATCAGAGATACCAATCCCACAAACCACACTCTTATGAAAATTAATCTCGAGCCCAGATACCATTTCAAAACACCTTAAGATTCTGTTTAGATTTATCACTTCCACCACATCAGCTTCACTAAAGAGTAATGAATCATCTGCAAATTGTAGATGTGATACCATCACCTCATTGGCTCCAATTTCTATCCCTTTTATCAGTCCCATCTCTCTTACTCTGAGCAATAAAATATTTAGACCTTCAGTAGCCAAATTAAATAGAAATGGTGATAAACAATCACCTTGTTTGAGCCCTTTTTGAGGGCTAAATTCTTTAGTTGGTGACCTATTCACAAGTACTGAGATTCTAGCTGATGAGATACACTCCTTCATCCAAGAAATTCATTTTGAACCAAATCCAAAATTTGAGCGCATAGAAAACAAGAATTCCCATTTGATAGAGTCATATGCTTTTTCAAAATCAAGCTTGATCAACAATCCCTTCTTTTTGACTTTTTTCCACATATCCACAACTTCATTTGCAATCAACACCCCATCCAAAATATTCCTACCCCCCAAGAAGGCTGATTGAGCCTTACTAATTATAACGATTCTGCTTTAGACCCAACCCGTTTATTGTTTTGGATCTAGATTCATTGTCTTATTTGGTTGTTCATACCCTTATACATATACATTCTATTCTTGATTGAGTTGGTTATTTAGATGTCGTTGTTGCGTTTGGAACAAGTTGGGAGTTCGTTTTTGAAAGGAGTCTTTGCCTAGATTTTGGTCAGTTCGCTCAAGCGGTTCTTTGGTCGCTTGAGCGGTCTTTGGGGAAATTGTCAATACTTTCGCAGGTCTGCAAAAGTATTGGGAGGGTGGTGTTTTTAGCTCGAGCAATCTTTTTTGCACTCGAGCGGTTAGCCTTTGTCTACAAAACTTCTGGGAGGGTGTCATTTTGCGCTTGAGCGGTAACTTTGTTCGCTCGTGGTCGCTCAAGCAGTGTTTCGGTCGCTTGAGTGATCTGCACGTATATCAGTTCGAAAAGCTCACTTTTTGAGTCATTTTCTCATCTCTCTCTCTCTCTTTATATATATTTTCCAAAAATCCAGATTTTCTTCCTCTCTCTAGAAACCATCTTTAAACTTCAAATACATTATCATCCATTGATCTCTATGCTCTAGCCCCTTTGATAAAAAGGTAGAGCTCACCTAGAGCTGCTTTCTAATTGGAATAAAGTTGATTTTCGGCATTGTCGGGGTTTCTTCATTCACTCTCTTGCCTTCTAGCTTTGAGGTAAGGATTTCTTCACACTTTTGTATGGCTTTTAACTTGATTATTTACTTTTTTAAACAATATTATGATTTGGGAATTTTTGAACAAAATCTAGAGTTTTGGTTTCAAAATCAAAAGTGGGGTTTTTCAAATGGGTTCTTGAATATGATTGCGGATTTGTAAATGTGGTTGAGTTGTGATCAAATGGTGAATTTTATCCTTGGAATTGATTTATAAAGAAAATGAGATTTTACCCTAAAAAGTGAATATTTGATTTTGTAAAGAGGAAATGGAAATGATGTTGGGTTTTATGAAGTTGGAATGATGATGATGAAGGTGGAGTTGGATATGCATTATTACTCCTATCTTGAAATTTCGGAAAGTTTATCTTTGTTGGAAATTATCTATCTGTTTAGAGAGATCTGTTTTAGGCCATTAGTGGTGGATAGCTATGATTGTTATAGAAATTGCATGAGAATTAGAAGAATTGAAATTAATTTCTCATCCATTTGCATTGAGCATTGTTACATACTTCACACATTGAAAATGTATATTGTTTTGAGAAAAATAGGTGAATACCTTGGTG